ACTCCTAAAGTTAGCCACCATGATTCCTCCTGACTCTACTCCTTCACAACCACCTTCAACTCCACACACCCCTGTTTCTTCTTGTCCCACAAATACTCAACCTTCTCCCTCTCCTCCAAATATTCCTCAACATCAACAATCCACAGTTAGCTCCCGTGCTAAACAGATATGCCCATCAACTTCTCATTATCGGCCATCCACAACCAACACTCACCCAATGGTTACTCGAGCTCGCACCAATTCTCTAAAACCCAAAGCTTTTTCTGCCTCTTCTAATTCCTTATCTATGATTGAACCTTCAAACTTTAAACAGGCAATCAAGCATCAATGTTGGAAAGATCCCATGCAGAAAGAGTATGATGCACTTGTGCGAAATAGAACTTGGTCCTTAGTTGATTGTCCCACTAGTGTTAATCTTGTAGGCTGTAAATGGATTTACAGGATCAAAAGGAAGTCGGATGGTACGATTGAACGGCACAAAGCCCGTCTCGTTGCTCAAGGGTACAGTCAAGAGGAGGGTATCGACTACTTTGAAACATTCAGTCCAGTCATCAAACCCACCACCATCCGTTTGGTGTTGTCCCTGGCTATCTCAAACAAGTGGTGCATCCGTCAACTCGATATTAACAACGCCTTTCTAAATGGCGATTTGCAAGAAGCTGTCTATATGAAGCAACTGAGAGGCTTCGAAGATCACACCAAACCAAATCAAGTTTGTCGCCTACATAAGGCTATCTATGGGCTTAAACAGGCCCCTCGTGCCTGGTTCAATAAACTTAAAAATCATTTGATTACTCAAGGATTGCGTGCATGTTACTCTGACACCTCACTGTTTGTTCACCACTCAAAGACAACTACTATTTATATTTTAGTTTATGTTGATGATCTAATTATCACAGGGACAAATGAATCTCTCATTACAAGATTTATTGCTCAGCTACATAATGTTTTTGCTCTTAAAGATCTGGGGTCATTACATTTCTTCCTAGGCATCAACATCAACAATACTTCAACTGGTCTTACAATGAGTCAATCAAGCTACATACATGATATTCTCATTCGAACTCGTATGGATGAAGCCTCTCAAATTTCAACACCTGCTGACAACAACATCCGATTAACAACAAATGGGGAGTTGTTCTCTGATCCTACACTCTATCGTAAGGTTGTTGGTTCACTTCAATATGTCACAATTACCCGTCCCGACATATCCTATGCTATCAACAGAGTGTGTCAATACATGCACTCGCCTACCACTAGCCACTGGCAAGCCGTCAAGCGCATTCTCAGGTACCTCAAAGGTGCCATCAATGAATGCTTGCACTTTAAACCTACAGACCATACATCTCTTCTTGCATATTCCGATGCTAGATGGATTTCTGATCAAGATGACAGTCGCTCTCAGTATGATTTTGCTATTTTCCATGGTCCCAATCTCATAAGCTGGACATCTCGGAAACAACGGGTTGTTGCGCGTTCAAGTACTGAAACAGAATACCGATCTTTAGCCTATACAGTTGCTGAACTAATATGGATCAAGCAACTGTTAACAGAATTACATTCTCCTCTCTCTCGTTCTCCATTATTGATGTGTGATAACATTGGTGCCGTATTCATGACACAAAATCCGGTTATTCGCACCAGATCCAAACACATTGCGTTGGATTTTCATTTCATCAAAGAGCAAGTGGAAGCTAAAGAACTTGTGATCAGTCCTATTTCTTCTGTTGATCATGTTGCGGACATCTTCACCAAACCTCTACACAAAGATCGGTTCATGTCCTTAAAACACAAGCTTCACATTCGTCCCGATTTTCAGCTTGCAGGGGGGTAATAACCTGTATCACACGTGTTCTCAAGCACGTGCATAGACTTAGTCTTAGTCATTCTCTTGTACCTAGTCTCCTGCTTGTAATTAGGAGTTAGTTGCATCTTCCCTGTATTTATACTCTATCATGTACACAATTTCATCAAGATCAAATACACAATAATATTCAGTATATCGTTTACAGATTCCTAGAGGTAGGAGGTTGATGGAGTTATTAGGTTAACAGTGTATGACATTCACTTGATAATTGGTTGTCTTCCGGATGCTTCTTCTTTTACGAGATGGGATCGATGTTTGCCTAGGAAGGTTAATATTTTCGTGTGGCGGACTCATATTGATTGCCTTCCCACAAGGTGGAATCTAAGTCATAAAGGCTTGGATGTTCTTTCTTTGATGTGCCCGTTGTGTGCCCGACAGATTAAAAACTAGACCATATGTTGATTGTTTGTGATGTAGTGAATTCTATTTGGCAAAGGGTTTTTAGGTGGGTCGACTTGGTGTTGTCGGGATGGGACACATTGTGGGACATGTTCGATTGGCTAGATGCGCTTTCTCTTTCAAACAATAGGAAAGAGGCTTTGGACTCGATTTAGATATCGGGTGTTGTTTGGGGATGTTAGTTTGAAAAGATTTTATTTTTGATGATGTATTTGATTTCTCATATAATTGGTTTGTTCATAGAAACAATAAGGTTAAGGCTAGTTGAGTTTATTGGCTAGTTGAGCTTCTTGGATTCAAAACTCACTTCTAGCTATTTCTTTGTAATTTGCTAACCTTTTGCTAGTGTCGTGTTCGATAAAATTCAATTAAAAAAAATACGTTTTGCATTTTTCACTTTTGTAATCGCCCTTGCAATTGATAATTGGAAGTAAAAGAAGCAAAACGATATTCACATTTGGACTTTTAGGGTTGAAATATTAATCTCGAAAGTGAACTCATATGATCTATACAAAATCCAGTAATTTGTTGATTACTTAGCGGATCGTGTTTTTCAACACAATCTAAAATGGTGTTTTGCAATACTTTTTAAAATGACTTATTGTCTTTTTCAAAAACCAATAAGTTAAAAAAAATGTTTTGCTTCTTCAAAAGTGTTTTTTTCAATTGGCTTTTTGGCAACACAAAATAAGGAGCTTTTTAAAAAGCTAGTAATTCATGATTTTTTGAAAAAGTCGGGAAGAATTTTTCCAAAAAGCCATATGAAGTTAAAAAGCACTCTCTAACACCCCTAACATTAATAATTTAAAACATATAATGAAATTATAAATAAATATATTACATTTTTTACTTAAGAATGCTTATTTATGTTGTTTCTTCATTTCTGGTACTATGAAGAATACTTTTCCTCTTGATGTATGCTTAAAGGCATCCAGAGTGTTTAAATTATAAAATTTACGCAAAAGCATATATTTAAAGCAATTTTTTATGGCTTTTTCACCATTCTATATAATATCGACTATTTATTGTATTCATTGAAAACATTGCAAAAAAAGGATGTAAATTTCTATATGAATTTCTTTTGGTGGGGGCATAATCTGATTATTTTGAAAGATTGTAATAATAGAAATGGCAATGATGGGACTCGAAACAAAACATGCAACATGCCTTTTGTTTTTAAAGAGACTAGAAGTAGAATCTTTTACTACTGACATTAGATTGATAAATGTGGTGTAAAATTACATACTTTTTTTTGAATGTGGTAATGATGCTTGAATTCATCACAGGGTATATTCGTCATTTTCATTTGAAATATCTTGCCATTTCACTGACATCAAAATAAAAGGGCAAAAAACATGTGCATATGAATATCTTGCAAGTTAAAGAAAATAATAAAAATAATAATAATAAATACAAGTAAAAAATATAAACACATATTTTTTTGTAGCTTACAAAAATATTGATAGTAGTCAAATAACAATATATCGCACAACTTAAATGATACACAAAGTTATCAGTTATCAGTTATGGGTTATTTAGAAAAAAAAAACTAAATTTTGATCCCATTTTAGATAACATTCAAAAATAATAATTTACAATCTAAACCTAAAGTTCGATTTAATTTTCAGCTTGTGGTAGGTTTCTATATAGTAAAAAAGTCTTCCAAAATATGATTAAAATGTTATGTTCTTTGTACATTATGCAAACAATATTTATTTGCATAAAAGTAATAGTTTGACCACTTTTATGGAAATTATCTAATTCTTTTATTGCCGGATTAAAAACTTATAAATAGAATAAAAAGACAAAACAACAAAAATAAATAATAAATACGATTTTTGGATTAAATTGTAAGATATAAAATATTATCTAAAAAGTAAAAAAGAAATATCAAAATTTTAGGTTTTACTTCGAAATAACCCTACAATATTCGAGATTTTATTTAATTAATTTACAATAGGAAGTGCGTGATTACAAATCTTTATTTCTTACGTGACCACAAGCACATATTAAACCTATAATATATATAATCAAATAAAATAGTGGATTAAGTATCACTTATTTTGTTAAAAAAATCGTTTATAAAGAGCACATTATAATTTAGATATTTAATCAGTAATTAAATCTTTTAAGATTATTTTCAAATTAAGGTTGCGTTTGATATAGTAGCTGAAAAATTACCTGATAGTTGAAAATCTAATTGTTAGTCGAAAAGTTAAATGTCAACTTATAAACTAAATGATAAAAAAAAATAACTTTTAATAAAAATAAGTTGATAAACCAGGTGGAATATATAAAATTACATTTAAAAGAATATATTTTTTATAATTAATTATAGATATATTTGAAAAAAACAATTTAAGAAGCTTTTGAAAACTAATATAAATGGGGTTTTAAAAAATTAGTTTGTAATTTACTTTCTGTTTGACAAACATGACTATTTAAAAAATAAATTATTTTATCAAGAAGCTGCCGCGCAACACAACCTAAATATAATGGCTTTAACGCCAAACCATAATTGACAATCGACAATGTTAACTTTTGTAAAGGGAGTATAAGAATGAAAAACATTTAAAAAGAGGGCATAGCAATGGTGGGAGATAACGGAAACATAACAGAGTTGACGTAGTGGGTCGAGGAAGTGTAACGGCGAGATGGGGCCCATGTGGACCATATCACCACCACGATGGCACGAACATTGTAAAGAAACAAACAAAAACATAGAGGGATAAAAATGGAAAATAATAAAACTGAAAGGGGTAAAAAAGAAAAATACAAGAGCTTTAAAAAGAACGTGAGAGAAACAGAGAGAGAAAGAAAGGAGAACGGGCCAAGGCGTGCTTCTCTGTGAATCCTCCTCTCTCTCTTCTAACTTTCTTTCTCTCTCACTCACAAATACGCACCAAACAATAGTTATTAGTTGAGATTCTTTTCGAATTGCATATGCAAATCGAGAACGATTCATCTGAAGCTGTGAATTGATCAGAGAAAAGAATTTAGATCAGCTTTTCTTCTTCAAGGTATAAATCATAGATTGTTGTTTAATGTTTACCGATTCCGTGAGAAGTTTGTTTATTATATGTTGATTTGACATTTGTGTATTCGATGTAGATATTTCTTAGAAGTTTTTATCGGTTTTGTATTCGATTTGGATTACCAACGAAATGCGTAGTTTGTTGTTTACGCAGAGAACCTGTATGTCTGCTTCCTGATTCGAATTATTGATTCTTGTTTCTGACACGATTGATTTGAATCTGCAGGTACTGTTTTCGGATTCTCTGGCTATTGATCCGTCCTGAGAAATAATTCCAACGGTTTAATTTGGTGATGGCGTCGTCGACGTTGATTTCGGATCCGGTAACGAACAACATCGAAAGAGCACGTGATTTATCGAAGAGAAGAAAGAAGAAGAGAATCCATAGGCAACCTACTGGCGATCAGACGATTGAGAACTCGAATAACAATAACAACCAGATTATTTCATGGAAATCCGAAGCTCAGCAACAAGTATACAGCTCAAAACTCCTGCAAGCGCTCCGCAATGTCCGGATCAACTCCGGCACGTCTCCGCCTTCTGCTCCCCGCCGTGGACGCGCCGTTCGTGAAGCGGCCGACCGAGTCCTTGCAGTAACAGCGAAAGGTCGGAGTCGATGGAGCCGTGCGATTCTCACGAACAAAATCAAGCTTAAGTTTATGAAGAATAACAGAAGACAGAGAGGGACCGCTGTCACAGCAACAGGGAATAGCCGGTTAAAAAAGCCGCGAGTGAGTATTTTAAAGCTGAAGACAAAAAATCTACCGGCAGTGCAAAGGAAAACACGTGTTCTCGGCCGGTTGGTTCCCGGTTGTCGGAAACAACCGTTGCCGGTTGTATTGGAAGAAGCAACTGATTATATAGCCGCTCTTGAGATGCAAGTTAAAGCCATGGCTGCCCTCGCCGACCTTCTCTCCGGCGGCTCCAGTTCGACTTCCGGCCCCGGCACCGGCGCTATGATTCTAAGTCAGCTCAGTCTTAGGCAGCCACCACAGAGCTTGTAATATCCACTCTCTTTCTTCTTTCTTCTTCCTTCTTTTTTCTGATTTTATATTTTCATCCACCTACGCCTCACGCCACTGTTCAAATTCATTCTCTACCTTAATTTTTTTTTTCTTCTTTCTGTGATGATGATGGTAAAAATTTGTCTTTCCAGGACATTGTGTAGACAATAACACCCCACCAAGTTAAAACTCACAGTCAGTGTCCATTCCTATTATTCTTTCTATTATACTATTTTTTTGGTTTATCCTAAAATTACTAGTATAAATTTATAAATCGTCTATATAATGCACTTACAAATATCGAAAAACAACCTATACTCCATTAATGAACTAGAGTTTAGTACAAATTTTTTACTTTATTGATTATATACATCTAACTGAAAATGAAAATGAACAAGAAACATAGTATTAGTTTTGTTACTTCTTTGATGCAATAGACTTCTAAAATTTTCTACATGTTTGTACAATACCATTATTGCAATGTAGAGTTCCATTTTTGTACTAGATTTAGCTTTTTGCCGGCACTAAAACTTTTGTCTAATGTTTGTCATCAAATAGAAGATTGTATATCTCATATAAACTTATGTATGTCATCTCATCTGAACAGAATTCTGATTTACCTCTCATATAATGTTCTTTTAGTGGGACGGAATGATCGGATCTAAAAGAATAACATAACACTTGTAGTTAAGCAAAGACATGGTGGATGTTTAATGGCCATTATATAATCTTGATCAATACCACAAATAGTGGATGATGCTTCGAGGATAAACGTTTAATCATTTAAAAAGTATATTTGGCAAAAGTTCTTGTGACCAATGTTGCAAGAGAGTTGAAAGACTAGGGTGTTTGTTTTTTTGCAATAGGGGCAAGAGCCCGGGATTTTTGAACCATTGCTTATGATAATAATAATTTAACTTTGTTTGATTAACCACTTGGATTATACAATTATATATCAAACATACTTTACAACTCAAGCATTAGGTTTTCAATGTTAATAAACATGGGAGATGGGACTTTTGAAGGGTTTTGATTGAGTTGTAACATAATAATTGAGATTCCCATGCTTTAATTAAATTAATCCCCTAAGGCCTAATCTTTGCTTGGTGTGGTTGGTCTTGGCGGAGGAAAAGAAAAAGAAAAACTTAGAATATGATGACTTTGTATGTTTATTAATAAAAAAGAATAAAGTATATTATAAAACAGATTTTCGCGGTTGACCAAAATTTACAGTTTCAATCCAATATTTATTTTTTGTTTCAAATTAGCGTTTAAGTGCAAAATTTATTTCAGTTTTGATGCATGACCCATGTAAATTTAACATTTTTAATATCTTTATCCTTTTATTTTATTAACTTATTAATTTATAAGAGGCATACTTTAGCCAATCACATGCTATCAAAAAATGAAACACCACATCATGAGGTTTTGTTCCTTGGGCACACATCATGTAGAATAATGCTAAAGCTTCTTTACATATCCCATTTTCAGCTAAACGCGACACCATTGTTCTCCGTGTGATTATACATATGTTGGCCCACGATCTTGGTTTAAGGGTTGTTGGTTGGATAAGTTTTGAGTGGTGTTAAAGATTGCTTGAGGCGTAGTGGTTTCATGAATGGATTTGAGGAAGAGTTCATGACCCTTAGCTTGATAGAGGTCACATAAGGCTGGTCTATGTTTGGCGGCACATTGGGCAGTGGAGAAAGTTCAAAGAAATGGCTAAAACTGCATAAAAACCAATGCGAATTATCCATATCATCAACATAATGGCCAATGACGGAAAGTTGATCACATATATTCTTGAATTTGCGACCATATTCAGCAACAAAGGAGTTATCTTTTAGTGTTTGTCATGATTATGGGCGTGTTCGGCAAAAGTAGCTGGTAGCGGGTAACTTGTAGCGGGTAGCTTGTACCTTGTAGCTTGTAGCGTTTTGTTAAACGCTACATGAAGTAACATTTGGATTTGGAGCGTTTTGTTTAAACTAAACGCTAGAAGCTTGTAGTGCCAAACGAGGCTTTCTGTTCAAAACGGAGCGTTTTGTCAAACGCTAGAAGCTAGAAGCTCTCAAACGCTCCCAGACGCTCCGTGTCGAACACACCCTATACATAGCTGCAAGGGCACGACATATCGACCAAGCATCTTTGAGACCAAGGGCTTCAATTATAACTTCTGCAGAAAGAGAAGATCAAATGATAATGAGGACACGTTGATCACCATTTTGCCGAGTAGATGGAGCTATCGACATAACCTAGAAGTTTCAAGTAAGAGAGAAGTTGTAAGATTTGATTTCTCCATAGAAGATAGTTTGAAAAAGAAAGCTTAAGAGTGAGTGTGTGAAGAAGGATAGATAGAGGGAGGGAGGATTTATCGGCAGGGGCATATATTAGGGTTAGGAAAGGACCGGTTTAGGCTGATATCATGTAAGGTTAGATATATTGACCGTACATATTGTTGGGGTATGAAGTCTTGTCCAACATGGAACACTTATATTACAATGGAGCACTTAGGGTTCATGGAGCATGTGACAAAGGAATGGATCATCTGAGAAGGGAATGGATCGTCTGACAAAGGAACGGATCAAGTGCCAAGGGAACGGATCATATAAAAGGGGGTTTGGAGCACCTGGAAGAGGTTTGGAGCACTTGGGAGTGATATGGAGCAACAAGGGGACCTTGTTGCGCCATCTGATGAATGGATGGGCCAAGAAGGATGTTGTTGCGCCATAAGCATTCCTTCTTGCGCCATCCTGCTCCCTCTTGCGCCATGAGGTATCCCTCTTGCGCCATGGAGTATACTATTGCGCCAAACATGTTATTGTTGTGCCAAGGTGGTGATGTTGCTCTAAGCTAGAAGTTCTTGCACCACACTTGAAGCCTGTTGCACCATCCTTGCGCATGTTGCGCCATCATGGTGCAAGATGGGTCATTTTTGTTCCTTGATGAGTCATGGTATCCCTGATGAGCCAAGTATGCTATGAAGTCCTCTATGATGCTCAAGATCGTTCAAAGATGCTCAGAAGTTAATATTGCTCAAGGATTACACCATGTTGTGCCACCATGATGGATGTTGGACCATTAGTGTTCATGATGCGCCACCTGTACATCGTGATGCTCCACTATGGTCAAAGTGGTCCATCATGTGGGTTGCTGATGCTCATGGGTTGTATGACATGGAAGAATGTTCCAGAAGATGTTGCATGGCGGAATATGATTGGTTGTCACCATTCATGGGATTATGGGCCAACGAGCTTGGCCCATTAGGGTTTTAAGTCTGATCCCTCAAGTATAAATAGGCTCATACCCCCATCATTGTAAATTGCTAGATTTCTATGAGAGCTCAAAGTGAGATACAATTTTGAGTATTTGTAATAGTTCCAGAAAGTTAATAAAATCATATTTCTCTTGTTCGCACGTGGACGTAGGTCATCTTGACCGAACCATGTTAAACATTTTGTTCTTTTGATTTCGTTTTTCAGAATATTTCGTGAGTTCATCGAAGTTTGTTTTTGATATTTTTCTGAAGTGTTTAACTTGTTTTGTTGTCACCCAACAAACTAGTATCAGAGCTATGGCTGAAGACGGGAGAGTTAAGATTGAAAAGTTCAATGGAAAAGATTTTGGTTTCTGGAAGATGCAAATCCTCTACCAAAAGAATTTACATGAACCTTTTTCAGAAGATAAGTTGTTCCTTACGAAGCAGGAGGATTGGGAGTTGTTAGATCGGCAGACACTTGGTGTGGTGCGTTTATCCTTGGCAAAGAACGTTGCTTACAACATTGTCAATGAGAATACAACTTATGGGTTGATCAAAGCGCTATTTAACATGTACGAGAAACCTTCAGCAACGAATAAGGTTCACTTAATTCGACAATTGGTAAATCTAAAGATGAAGGAACGTGGTTCAGTGACTGATCATGTCAATGAATTTAATTCAATCTTGTCAAGGTTGACATCGGTTGAGATTAAATTTGAATATGAAGTCCAAGCATTGCTACTATTATCATCATTACTCGAAAGTTGGTCAGGAACAATGACAACAGTCAGCAACTCAGTTAGAGGTGCCAAGCTGACATTCGAAGGCATACACGACTTAATCCTTGGTGAGGATGTACGCAGACGAAGTGCTAGATAATCCTCTAACATTCTTCTTAGTACTGAGGAAAGAGGAAGGAAGTCCAACAGAGGGAGTGGGGGTAGAGGAAGATCAAAGTCGAGGAAGAGAGGTGTATCGGAAACCAGGAAGGACATCACCTGT